CCTTGAATGACCTTGGTCTGAAATTTTCACAACTTGTGTAGAATTGATGTGCGATAAGGTGTACCAAAAACGGCGGCGCTCCGCGCCGCCGTTTTTGAGATATTCGCGAAAAACCACAAGGGGGGGTGTTCAAACACCCCCCCCCCCCCAGCAGGGCGCGGGTTAACTGGGGAGCACAATGAGGGGTCATAAATATATCAAAACGCAATGTACTCTGTTTCACATGCAAATATAATGTGAGAACGAACTTATGGGACACCCTGTACACCTGTACTTAAAAAAGAAAAGAAACAGCAACCACAAACAAGCAAACCAAATAAAACAACAGAAATTTCGAAAGGTTCTCTTCGTTAACCATTCAAACAATCATGACGTCATCACTCAATCGTTGCCTCTATCAATAGAGGACGTAAAGTGAGCATGGGTGCACAGTTACTACGTTGCACTGAAGCCACATCAGCGCTGCTCTTTCAATATCTCCATCCAAACGTTGCAGACAACGCTACCGAAGTGTGGGAAGGCATAGCTTGCTCAGGAAGTGAAAGTGTCGGTTCCTTCCCTCCACCGTTGGAAAGGGGAGAGAATGACTACTCATACTGCCATGTCTTGGGATACGTATATGAAAATAACAATGCAATGTCACTGTCACCGCTCACAGTTTGTCACTGTCACCGCTTACCGTCCATGTCACTGTCACCGCCCACCGTCTATGTCACTGTCACCGCTCACCGGCTATGTCATTGTCACCGTTCACCGTCTATGTCGCTGTCACCACTATCCCTTCCGCGAGGGCACTGACTGACATCTCGCCACTGTGTAGGCTCAGAAGTGCCAATATCCTCGAACCAGCAGAACGTATAATAATATTAGCACGCGAGACTATACAAAGCTCCCACCAATAATCGACACCCTATATGACTCGGGTGATGTCTCACCAGTGCCCTGGTTTCACCCAAGATGTTTCACCGGTGATAGCAGCACGCTGCTATTCTGATGACGTCACAAGTTTGGGAGTGTTGGAGCAATGGGCTTGTTAACGTCTCCATGGAAACCTAATTTGACACGTGTAATAGCAGCGTGCTGCTATCACCGCGCCGGTGAAACACCACCCCGCTATCCAGTCCTCGCAGTCTCCACGCCGTATCTGATTGGCTATGACGTCATACCTGAGCTGTGACGTCACCCGCACCCCCGGCTGTGATTGGTTGTATCGTCGCGGCCCCGCCGGCCGCGGCTCGGCAGTGACCTTGACCGGCCGGGACACATGCGCAGTACACGGTGTCCACACATCGGGCTCTGGTATTAACTGGATAATTCGCCAGCTGACGCCGTATGGTGGCGCTAGTGGAGCAGCACTATATGACGTCAGCAGAAAACACCGTGAGCAGCTATGAAATGGGAGCGAGCACCACGGAAATATCGAAAAGTGATGGACATGTACTGACTTTGGTCATTCAAGTACCACCAACACCATACAAAAACCATATAATATCATCAAGACTGATTCTGGAATCGATTTGTTCGGGTATTTAAAACACATTAAAAATGTTTGTTACCAAATTCTGAAACAGTATAAGGATATTCTTGTTCCTTACTTTTACCTTGTTGAGTACTTTTACAATACCTTTTACTTGCTTTCTAGTACGCCCATCACTATCTGAAAATCTGGATTGCAACGCTGTAGGAAAACTTTTTTTTCATTTGTCATTTCTTCCACTTTTGAGCAGTGATAATTCATTTGGTTTTATACATTAAATAATAAAGACAGCTTCTAACTTTTTAGGGATCTGCGGTGGCCCAGAGAGCAAGATCAGATATTTACTAGAAACTTGAGGCCACTATTTTCTTATATGCTAGATAATATACAAATATTGACATGTAAAGAATGATACGGGTGTATAATTCTGCAGAAATATACATTCAAAGTATTTAAATTTTTCAAGAACCTTTTTAAAATCTTCCATAATGACTTCTTTCAATACAAGGTGGAAGCAATTTCAGCTAACAATAAAGCAGCACAAGGCAGTACCTTGAGCTGCGATGATCCATAACCAATCGGCACCTGCAATTTGATCTTCGAGATGTACCCTGCCTCTATTCCCTGACTCCCTTTTCGTTGTACCGGGTGAAGTGAATATTTTGTGAATATTCTTCTGACAGTCAGTTTTTAGTCCTACATTATGTTGTCAATCAGATTTAATTGGTTCAAAAACCGTCGTAGTCTGTCTCATTCGCAGTCTACACTCTACATCTCCATTCTCCACATGCGCACCCATACATGCTCAAAATTTTCACTACGTATGTACTATGTACCCTGCAGCGTACCCTGATGAAAAATGTTTTGTTGAAATCAGAGACACTTCCCAAGGTAGGCCATAGTCCATGGCCATATATTTAAGTCAAAACAGATGAAACAAATAAACACAATTCCAATCATCAAGTCAACCAGCATCGACAATCTGCACATACTTTCTAAACCTATTGCAAGACTACTTTGTATTCAAGCTTTGTATTGCAGAAGGGTGGAAGCTGCATGGAATTATGCGGCCGACAATTTCAGCGTGCATCCACGCTCGAAAGAGCAGGGTTAATTGTAACAATACCATAACAATAACGTAATTGTAGGTGTTGTGATTCGGTTGTCGCTTGTCTGTGCTGGCCATTGCGCGGGCGGTCCAGCGACGGAACTCGGCTTGGCCGCCGTGGCGCGCTGGCAGTTGCTTCTTCTTCTTCTGCATCCCACCGCCAACCCGCTCAGGGGGGCGGCGGCGCAGGCGGGTCGAGCGGCGGCTCGGTCCGCCCAACATCCTCGATGAAGGTGACGACCTTCGTCGCCGGGCCGCCGAGGACGTCGACCAGGCGAGGGTCGACACTAGTGATGTCAATTTCAGAAAACGTATGTCCAATGTCCGTCCAATGTCCAATACTTACTTAGACTGTCCGTCCAAAAATGTCCAAGCCAGCCATTTGTCCAAAGATGTCCGACATCTACGCAATAGTTTACACTTGCAACACCGTTATTTAATTTGCTTTTAATCTATCGTTACCAGCTCAAAAGTGGTAGTCGTATCGAAAGCTGAGCTTTCTAATAGCCAATCAATGTTAAACACCATTACTTTATAAAAATGTTGAGGTGTAGCAGGCGATTGTCCAAAGTTGTCCAAAGCCTGCTGTCATTGTCCAACCGAATTCCGAATTGGACATTGGACAAAATCGGAATTCCGAAGATTCAAGTTCCGATTGACACCACTAGTCGACACCCCAGCGGCGGCGGCGGGCCGCCTCATAGGCCGGACAATCGGTCAGTAGGTGCGCCGCGCTGTCGGGCTCCCCGCACGCGGGGCATTCGTCGTCGGCTGCCAGGCCAATCTTGTGGAGCGTGTCACGGGTCGGCGGTGATGTGCCGGTCCTCAGCTGGGGCAGCGTCACCGACCCCCAGCGCGCCAGGGAGTCGTGACCAGGCGTGGGGTCCGGGTGCGGGTGGGCAGCGGTTGCCCTCTGTCGCGACAGCTCCCAGACATGGCGCGTGACGGCGGCCCGCGCACTCGACAGGTCGATCGGTGCGCTGTCTTGGTCGCCCGCCGTGGCCTCGCCAGCCAGGCGGTCGGCGGTTTCGTTGCCGTCCAGCCCGGCATGGCCTGGCACCCACTGGAGCACCGTCTCGGTGCCGTTCTCGGCGAGGGTGCTCAGCAGCCTCCAGACCTCGGCGGCCAGGGCCATGGTCTGGTTAGCTGGGCCGCGGCCGAGTAGTTGGAGCCCAGACCTTGAGTCGGTGAGGAGGCGGACCGACTTGGTCGATGCCAACTCCCCGTCCTCCAGGCCGGCCACAGCCGCGAACGCCTCGCGCATGGCGGTCAGTTCTGCTCTTAGGCTGGAGCAGACCGCCCCTGCAGGAGCGCGCACGGTCTCTTCTCTGTTGAGGTGGTGGGACTGGATCAGCGCGCCTGCGCCGCCCTGTTCCGTCCTGCCGCGAGCCGAGCCGTCCGACCAGATAGTGACGTCCGGGTGCGGGAGCTCTGCAATGGCTCGCAGGGCAGCTTCCCTGCAGACTGCAGGCGGGTCCGACCGGCGGGTGGCCACGGGCAGGTCCACCCTGAAGGTGATGCCGCCGCAGTGGCCCAGCCATGGCGGGTCGCAGCTGTAGAACGCCGAACCTGTAACACAATAGAATTGCAATTGTAACAAAGACCTGCATGGTCAGCACACATCTGCAGTGACTGTCATCCCAAGTTGGTATGAGTTGGAACAAAGTTGGGTCATGGTAGCAGACGTAGCACAAGCTGTCGTGATATGCCATACCGTAGGACTAGGTTGTAGGTTGTAAATTTTAGGTTTAAGGCTATAGGTTGTAGGTCAGGTTAGGTAAGGTTTGGTTAGAAAGACCCATTCTCGTCATCGTGCATAGGGCAGCTTGTGCTACGTCTACCTTACCAATACCCAATTTGAATTCCCAAAATTGATGGCAAACAGGCTTTTTGTATAACAAGTGTGGTTAATTGTTCTAATCCCTGCTGCAATGTCAGGGTAACTGCTTTTGTACAATCACTTTATTTGAATTCATATAGGTAGGTGTTTACATGTTCAGAAAATGATACAAAATATGACACAATTATAGCTGCAACTCAAACTGGATAGTGGATAGTGGATACCAACCTCAACTAAAAGTTTCTGCAGCCTTATAACTTAACACATGACTAAATTGCCAAAATAAATCCCTTAGTACAATAGCTTGACTCTAAAATAACAGAACTTTTGCATGCAGACCCTGGAAACTGGAGGGTTTATGAAAAGTAACAAAAATAAACATTCATTAATATAAATATGTTGTTATAAATTTCATATGTAGCATAAGCGCCAATACTGCCTTCATTTACAATTTTGCGACTGTTTTCCACTCACAAACGCTGCCCTCCGTGGACAGCAGCAGCAGCAGTGAAACGTCACCCGTGGTGTGACATCATCACCCATGACGTAATGGAAATCCAGTTGTTACCAAGGCCCCACACATCTGTCCAGCTCTTGGCGCACAGAGCCACGGCAATTGTGTGGAGTGGTGAGTTTTTGGAAACGCTATCTAATGGTGAGTGAAAATAGTGGAAACGATTGACCGAGTTGATTGTTCAAGCTTTTCTCTCCGGCGTTTGCGGAAATAGAGTAAGGTGCTGCTGCATGCTTCGGTACAGCCTTTGGACGAAACTAAACTCAGTCGTAACTATCGGTACTTTTGATTGGTTTTGCTGCTAGCTTCAATATGTTTAAAGCCACCAGCATATTGATTCTTGCGCTATCGTTTGCAATCTAATCACAGCATCGAACGTCACAACGTAACTAGTAGCTCGCATAAACTGTCTTTAAGTCGTAAGCCAACGTCCCAACTTGAACTGTCAGGCCAACTGGGACGGTAGACGGTCAGCTAGGCATGTTCTTCATTGAAAGTAGGTACCGCTGAAGTGCTGTAAGTCAGGCATTGTTCATCGCCACAGACTTAGAACGAAGTTCCATGCGAGCTGAGCCGATCGCTGTACGAACATCTTCTGGAACTGGTGACGGAGGCGACTGAGGCACGTGCCAACCTGGCCATCATCAGGGACGTCAACATGACTACCATACCAGGTCAGTGGGAGGGGAAGGGACGGAAGAGAGAGAGAGAGAGAGAGAGAGAGAGAGAGAGAGAGAGGGGGGAGGGCAGGGAAGAGTGGAAAGATCTGGGGAATTTACTAGATTCAATGAGGGTTGGGATATAGGATGTCGCGTGTCTGCTGTTTTCGAGGCTCATTTTAGCTCAGCATAGTCTGCAGAGCATCAAACATTGTGCCCGTGCGTAATTCATCTCTGATCAACCCAATCACTCTTGCTGGCTGCGTTTGACGTCAATTTGTCGTATGCAGGCCTTCCGGCATCATTTTATAAACCTACGGGCTACGATTGAAATCGAGGGTTCTACCAATCTGCGTTGTTAGTGCATGAGTCACTCTCCTATCATAGTCCTATCATAGACATGCCATCGGATGGCGAAATGGTCTGAAGGCTTTGTGAGTTGGATAAGCCCTGGGCGCCTGATAGTATATTGACGTCAGCGGTCAGGGTATAATACAATGCTCGTCACTAGTTAAATGCCTACAGATCAGATCACACCTTCGATAGCACCGGAAAGTAAATCAACTTTAGACTGCAATCAAATCATCTGACCGTTACATGCTACAGTTTTTAATTATTTGGTTGCAAGGTGATTTTACCTTCACCCAAATTCTGCAATGTAAACGATCTTTTTCGGGCGTACTTTGTGATCTTCATGAAAATATCGTTTACAAAGTGGCGACTCAGGCGTGCAAGCTGCAGTGCATATTGACTACCGGCACTGGCGGATCCAGGGGGGGGGGGCCACGGGGGCCATGGCCCCCCCAAAGGCCTAAAGTGGCCTGTTTGGCCCCCCCCCCCAAAACGCCAGAAAAATTGCTAAGAAAATATACCTTGATGCAGTGGCGGCGGAATAGGGGGTGCAGGGGGTGCAGCTGCACCCCCATCGAAAAACATGGGGGTGCAAACATATCTTTTTGCACCCCCAAAATCCCTACAAGGGGCCCGTCGCGACGGGCCCCTCGACGCGTCGCACCCAAGACGCGTCGCACCCAAGATTACTTTATTACTCCGTCGCACCATCCAATACATTTTCTCCTGAAAACCAGTGATCGGGAAACGAACACTGATGTGGAATCATCCGGGATGTCCAATTATGGTCAGGAGCGCAGCGCCCCATGCTAGTCTTTGGGGCCCCCACACCGGCTAGAAGTGTCACGAGCCGCGTTTGGTGCTCCATGCGGCATCTGAGGGCCCCCACGACGGCCTCAGGGGGCCCTTTTATGACGATCTCTGAGGGCTCCCACGACGACCTCTGTCCCCTGGGGCCCTACAACGGCCACTAAGGGCCCTCATGACGACCGCTGAGGGTCCCACAGAGACTCCAGGGCCCCAAGGAGACTCCAGGGGCCACGCTGGCCTCTGAGGGCACCTATGACGGCCTCTGAGGGCCCTTACGATGATCTCTGAGGGCTCTCACGACGACCTCTGTCCCCTGCGGCCCTATAACGACCACTAAGGACCCTTATGACGACCGCTGAGGGTCCCACAGGACTCCAGGGGCCCCGCTGGCCTCTGAGGGCCTCTACAACGGCCCTGGTGACGGCCCTAGACCCAACTCAAGTCTGAGGGCCCATTTGGCTTCAGACGGCCCAGCGACGGCGGCCCTGAGGGCCCCAACACAACCAGGCTGCAGGGGCTATGCTGGCATCTGAGGGCCCTGCAACGGTCTATTGAGGGCCCTAGTGATGGCCTCTAGCGGTCTTACCATTACCAAGGCCTCTGAGAGCGCTGCAAAGGTATCTGAGGGCCCATGAAGACCCTCATTATGGCCAAGGACCCTCATGACGACCTCTGATGATCCTCTCGAAGGCTTCTAAGGGCCCTCACAACAACTTTTGAGGACCCCAGGACGGTCCCTGAGGGACTGAGGGCCCTGACGACGACCTCTCTGGGCCCTCACGATGGTCTCTAAGACCCAACGCAAGCTCCAAAGGCCCACGCTGGCGTCTGAGGGCCCCACGACGGCCTCTGAGGGCCTCGACGCAGGCAGGCTCCAGGGGCCATGCTGACCTCTGAGGGCCCTCTTGACGACTTCTAGGGCCTAACGAAGGCTTCAAGGGCCAACGCTGGCCTAAGAACCCTACGACGGCCTCGGAGGGTCTCAACTCAACGCAGGCAGGTGCCAGGAGACATGCTGGCCTCTGAGGGCCCCGCAGAGTTCAGATTCAGAGGACCCAACGACCTTTGTGGACCTTACGAAATACGAAGGTCTCCTAGATCTCACGCAGGCTCCTGGAATTCCACACTGATTCTCAGGCCCCATGTCGGCTTGTTGAGGCACTTTATCTGCTCTTGGTGCCCCGTCGCCGGCCTCTGAGAGTCTCAATGTCGGAACTTATGGGGCCATGGGCCCTACACCGGCTTTTATGGCCCCTACGGCCTACATCGACTCTTGGGACTCATGACCTATGAAATGTGGGTCTAAGCGGCTTCTAAGAATCCCCATGCTGGTTCTAGTAGCCGCCAGCCGAATATTTGGGCTCACACGCGAGCTCCTGGGACCCCGTGCATACCCCAGGGGTCTACCTGCCTCTAAGACCCCACACATACTTTTGGGGCTCAAACGCTTGCCCCTGAAGACCCCACTGAGACCCCTTTCCTCTATTCAGTCCTCCATACCGGCTCTTTAGGCTAAACATCGGCTCCTGTGGCCTCCATCTCGGCTTTGGAGGGCCTCCATACAGGCTTTTTTGGGGTCCGATGCCGGTTTCTGAGAGCCCTCAAAAGACTTTCGAGCCTATACTGCCTTCTGAAACCTTTCAGCAACTTTCAAGGGACCGACCCTGATCGGAGGGCTCATTCAGTCTGGGGAGTCATGTAGGTCTCTGGAGGAGTCTCTATGTGGTCGGTTTCCAAGGGGCTTCTAAACACGGTCTTCTTGGAACGGTCTCGTAGAGCCCTCAATGGTCCACTGCGGATCCAGAAAAAGTGGTTTGAGACGCTGCGGGTGGTGACTAGACTAAAAGATTAGCCGATAAAAACTAGCTGCATTTGCTTCTTTATGCTTTCATTATTTGAGACAGGTAGGTACACTGCAATTTTAAACCTTTTACAGAACTTGTGCGTATGGGGAGAGTTTTCCGAACTCTTCGTTTTTCATAAATCAATAAAAATCACCCAAAAAAAACTGAAGGGGGCCCAAAACTTCCAGAGGGGCCCCTTCAGAAAACTTTGCACCCCCATCCAAAATTACCTTCCGCCGCCACTGATGATGTTTTTAAGCATTTAGACCAGGTCGGGTCAGGTCAGGTCAGGTCAACCGGTAGGGGTTATGACGGGTACTCGTAATACGTGTCAACCGCCTCTGGCAGCTTCGTAACATGTTACGAAGGCACCAAACAAAACTACTTCGTAAAAGTTCAAATGGTTGCTAAATTCGAATTCAGCTCCAAAAACTAGCCTAGAAACACGTAAAACTCGAAAAAAGTGAACCGAGGTTACCCGAGGTCACCAAAGGTCAATGACCTGACCTGACCTTCAGGTGACCTTGACACCCACCCTAATGTATGGGAGCAACATCAAATCACATGTTTGAACGTTTGAAACCACGAAAAGCTTGCAAACGCGCGGCTAATGCGAGCCGACATACGCCGAATCGCGATTTCGGCCAAACATGGTCACGGAAAAGAGGTCACAGGTCAAAGGTCATTGGGGTCAGGGTCATGAAATTTTCAGGGAACGTGTGAAATTGATCAATGCGAGGGTACTGAAAGTTTCGTCGCGATCGGCCGCTTTTTACGCGTGTTATTCGCGAAAAACCTTAGGGGGGGTTGCATCAACCCCCCTGTGCCGGCGAGGGTTAAGACATAGGTACTGGCTAAAAATAATAATAAAAAGAAAAAAACTGAAAATGGGGGCACCACCAAAATGAAGTGGACGAAATCCGTTGAGTTTTTTATTTTGGGTATAGGTAGGGGCACCACTTCGATTCATGACCCTCCCCTTGGAGTTTTCCTGGATCCGCCCCTGAAAAGGGATCCGAGTGCTTTTACTCCATTCCTTTCTAGGTTTGTCAGACTATAGCAAGATGAAAAATATTAATTAGATTATTATCCTGAATGTTCTTCACTATCCAAAACTATTCCACATTGATCGGGTGAATAAGTCAAAAACGCCCCCAGTAAGCGCGAAACCTTCTGACACTCAACCCAACACAGATTACTCAAACCTTTGGGCACCATCATGTAGCTCATTCTTTTTACTACGCTTTGAGACCAAGAAAAGACACCTGCGTGTGGTATTTAACCCCCCAAAATGGTTTTCGCATACCCTTACAAAAGGGCGTTTTGCCCCATACCCTGGGTAATACACTGAAAGAAAAAATGACACCCTGTACGGGGTATTGACGGTCATGTCAAAAATAACACCCGAGTGGGGTGTTTTGAGGGGAGTCGCTGAGCTATTAAAAATGGGGGGTTTGGCGTACACCCCAGGAGGGTTTCGACGCATAGTGGGGAGTCGCAGCCGCTAAAGAGGGGTCAGCGCCGGCCCACATGGGGTTCCGTTAGACTGCAGGTGACACCCCTCAAATATCAGCCGAACACCCCTCTTTGGTCCCTAAGCACCCGACAGGGTGTCAAACTACCAAATAAGGGTGTAAAATTTACCAGCTCGACTCCCCTGTTCTTCTGATGCATCTCCCCAAATTGATCCTGACCCCCACGCGGGGGACCCCGTGCCTTCAGCAGGGAATCGCTCAGAGCATCCCTACTCCCTTATCTTCCGAAAATTTCCCGTCGAGGGTTAAATGTTTTGCGGAATTTGTTTTGTTTGTTTTGTTGGGTTAGGCCCTTTCGGTCGACAAGACCATTGCAGAGCCGGAAGGATGATAGAAATTAGGGGGAGACATTGGTCTGGGCAGGCACCCTAGTGAATCGCCGGGGCTGAGCCCGTCCGAAGACAGGCCACCCAGCCCCAAGGCACTCACTGCACCCGGCTACGGGATGCGCTTCCTCAGGAGCAGCGGTGCCGCTCCAAGGGAGCAGCCCGCATGAGATAAAGTTGCCTGTCCAGCCCGGAGGGGGGTTGCGGCGTGGAGGAGAAGGATTTCAGTATTCTGAGGATAGAAGCACGGATAGGTGTTTTTCGGAACGAGAATCTCAGACTATATTTATAACCGGGTGAGGAGTTACTCTTTCCGTTCGCGGCCTTGCGGCGCCCTGTAGTGTGCACGACCAACGTATGACACGGTAATCAGTCTAGATATCATCGTGATATAGTTGGCCACTCTACGCTATGCACGCTTTTGCCTTAGCTCCAAACATGCACCAGCCATTCGCGAAAAACAGGTCCCGATTTTACCAACTTAAGTTTGCGCCATCTATCGGTAGGATTTGAAGCTCTACCTTCGGCCTACCGATATTATCCTTCGATACGGCGCACACAAAGCACGTTAATGAACACGAATGATGCTGCGAGAAAGAGCGTCTTCAACACCTTCGGTGAGGCTAAAAAACATTCGCAGTTTACGCGTCCCGAAAAAAATATAGCCGATCACAGCGCGGAGACGGCGCCCGGGGCAGATGGCAGCACCTGTGTTGGTGGAATGCAACACGGGGTGTCACTCCAGGATAATGACACCCCAGAGGGGTTTCAACGGGGGTGTCTCAGCGACACTCCAATTTTTTGGCCTGCAATTTTTGGGGAGTTCGCTAGCCGAACCTCTCCCAAGGGGGTCATGTACATTTTTGGGGCGTCAAAAGGTAATGGGGCTCCCGTGTCGGGTGTCACAACACCCATGACATCCTAAAATCATGAAAATGGAGCCTAATTTAGGAGTATTTTGGAGTATGGGGTGTCAGATTGTAAGAAATGGGGTTCCCCGATTTCTTTCAGTGTACGCCCACACCCATGTGCAAAGCGCCCCCACCCCATCCATCAACAGAACATGATGAACATGGCAGAACTTGACGTCATTATGACCACGGTGACTATAAATATTTGACTATAGATTCTGACGTCATTTGTGGTCAATCATAGCCTTTGTAATAAAGTTTTGTTGCAATGTGTAACATGGATGCCCGGAGGAGTCCTGAAAGTTTGGTGACGATATCTGCAGTCGTTTAGGATATATCAGCAAAAAAGGACAGGGAGAGGCCTTTTCGGCCCCGACCTAGGTACAGGGCGCTACCCTGCACTCTCACCACCGTGCAAAACGCCCCCCTTTAAGAAAACTGGGGGCGTCTTGCCCCATGCATCGAGTACGGAGTAGGCGTCTTTCCCCATCCACTCCATTTCCGGTCAACAAAATATTGACAAAAAACGCGCCACTAACGCCGCAGCATAATAAATTCAACAGAATGACAATAAAACGCAGTTTTGAGTGATGTGCACAATAGCAAGTTTTGTGATATAAAGAGGGCATAAAAATTTTAGGAATCTTCTGTGAAAACAACAAAAACAACACCCAAAACCAACATCAGCACCTATCCACGCTGCTCCTCAAGACGCAGAACCGGAAATAGAGACCTACGTAAACAAGCAGCTGACTGTTCTGAAAGACAGGATAAAACACCTATCCGTCGATAAGAAATACGATTTTTTTTAGGGGAGGCGTTTAACCCAGGGGTGCGTAATGCGTTTTCCCCACAGTTACCCTATCTGCGCGATTACAGGCGAGTTACCCGCGATTAGCTTTGAAACTCTCATAATGAAAGCAACCATGTTCTTTTTTGCCCATTACCTTCCTCCGGCTTCCCCCTCCCCCTCCCCCCATCAGTTTCCACCCACCTGTTTCAATGGCTGGTGTTTCATGCTGCAGGTTACTTCCCTGGAGGTCTGGCATTCGTCCCGAACAACAAACTCACAATTTGTAGAAAAGCAGTCGGTGGCGGAGACCACATGCCGGCCGGTGGTCGTCACAACCAACAGCGCGATCAACGGGAGAGGCCCGCCCATTTCTGGGGACCAGCCTGGACTCTGGAGAGGAGCGGTCCAGTCTCAGGTCCCTGACGAGTGTGACTGACCAAGGCTCAAGACGGAGTGACTGGTGGGTTCAGTATCTACAGGGCATGGCAATGCGTCCAGCGTCGGCGACTGATCAGTCTCACGAGCGAATCCTGCACAGGCCGGCTACAAACTTGATTGATTAGATACCTAGCCTGAAGTATTTGAAGAGGTGGGAGGAGGAGGGATTTATAATCGTGTAAGGGGTAATGACTGGTGGTGCACCATGGTTGCTGCAGATATCGGGTATATGATAGATTAGATAGCGACCCTGTCGCCTGCGATGGTCGAAACTCGGAAAGTGTGCGCTTCATGAAATGGGGGGGGGGAGGGACAAATAATGATAAATATTATGGGGGATGTGCCTGCTTGTGTGTTCATCAGCAGTGTATGAATGATTGGAAAAAGTTTTATTTGTTTCGGTGACACTATTGACTATAAAAGGTGTCAAAGACATTGTCAGATGTAGTGAGACAACTCAACTCTCAACTCTGAGAGTGAGACAACTCTGAGAGTGTCCTGTGTCAGAATTGTCAGCTAATCCATTACCTTGTCAGCTCAATCAGTGATCTTATCATCTCTGTCAATGACTCTGTCAGCACTGTCAATGACCCCCTGCCCCCCCCCCCGCGGTCAGGTGACCCCGGAGAGCACCACGCTGGCTCAGCAGATGTCCTTCCAGACCAAGATTCTCTCGCATCTCACAGCAGCCGACGTACTCCTACTCATCGGAGAACAAGGTAAGAGAAAGGTCGCTGGATCGCATCCCAGCACCATCAGTCTTGTAATGGCGGTAGATACTATTCTTTTGGCTGCTTATATCTGAGCCAAGGATGACGACCGTTTTGAGTTTTCTATTCGTCACGTCAGTGTTATTAGTAGGTAGGTGCCGAGACTAATAAGGGAAGTTCCTAAATAGACGTTTACCAGGCACTCATTTCTTAGAGGGACGTTTCCTAGCCTAGGTAGACGTTTCCCTAGGTAGACGTTTTCTAGGTAGACGTTTCCCCAGGTAGACGTTTTCTAGGTAGAAGTTTCCTGGATTCCTAGCTAGACTTGGAAGTTTAAAAATCCACGGGTGGTGAAACGACGAAGGACAGAAGGGGGAAAACATGAGCTGAGTTTCTACCAAGCACCTTTTCTATCGATTGAAGCCGCTTTCGGTTGCCGAAAGTTGAAGGCTATCTCGGCGTATATACTCTGATCTCGGCTCAACCATGTCTGTTGGCAAACATGAGCCCAAGAGCATGTATATGCTTACCAATTACAATCTCTGCCAAATATGTTCATTGACTGCGGCTGTCAAGGCAGCTTTTGAAAGAACTAAGGTCCGGTTCATGAAACCAAGCATAGGCGGCGGAACGGGGGGGGGGCACCGGGGCACCGTGCCCCCCCTTGAATTCTGCAAGGGGGCACCAATAGCAAGGTGCCCCCCCTTAAATTTGATGTATTAGTACCAGTGGCGGATTCGGGAAAACTCCAAGGGTAGGGTCATCAGAATCGAAGTGGTGCCCCTACCTATTCCCAAAATTAAAACCTCAACGGATTTCGGCCACTTAATTTTGGTGGTGCCCTATTTTCAGTTTTTTTATTTTCCTTATTTTTGTTTAGTCATGTGATGACTGGTGCCCCTGCTAGGCCGCTGGTGCCCCTGGAAAGACTGTGGTACCTACCTACCCTGCCCCCTGACAAGCCTACGGTGGGCCCTGACATGACTTAGGTGCCCATGGTCCCTGACCGGCCCGTGATGCCCCTGACAGGCCTGTGGTGTCCTTGCTAGGCCTGTGATGTCCCTGGGCCTTGGCAGGTCTGTGGTGCCCCTGGCGAGCCTGTGGTGCCCCTGTTAGAACGCAGGTGCCCTTGACAGGTTTGTGGTGCCCCTGACAATCCTAAAGTGTCAACGACAGGCTTGTGGTGCCCTTGATAGGTCTATGGTGCCCTTGCGAGGCCGGTGGTTCCCCTGCGAAGCCAATAGTGCCCCTGGCAGGCCTCTGGTGCCCCTGGTAGGTCTGTGGTGCCCCTGGAAGACCTGTAGTGCTTTTGCTAGGCCGATGGTGCTCTTGACAGGCCTGTGGTGCCACTGACAGGCCCGTGATGCCCCTGCTAGGCCTGTGATACCCCTGGCGGGCCTGTGGTGCCCCTGCCGGCTGTCAGGCCTGTGGTGCTCCTGGCAGGCATGTGGTGACCCCAGGCCCTAAGTCATGACCCATGTGACCTCCCCCCTGGGATTCGCCACTGATTAGTACTGCGATGGCTTCTTGGGAATTTGATACATGTAGGATAAATGGAATTTATCAAACGACAATAAGGAAGAGACAAGCACATAGGTACTTGAGGATCAGCTTAACCCTCGCCGGCACAGGCCATTTTGAGTCCTTCGACGGCACAAGGGGGGGGGGGGTTGGTTGGTTGGTACGACCCCCCCTCGCGTTTGGCCCCTGATGGAGCTAGAGCTTCGCAGAAAAAAAACGAGCGTGTTGCCCGTCACAAGAGGAAGCCAATGATACCCAATTTTAAGATCCTAGGTCATCGGTTGACCTTCCAGGTCAGGTCAATGACCCATAAATCGGGTATATCGGGACCTGTTCGAAAGTCGTAAAGTGTGGCTGCTAAGGAGTTTTCCGGGGTGCTGGTCACGAATATCGTGTTAGTTTTGATCATAGATGATGTCGTGAAGCGTTTAGACCAGGTCGGGTCAGGTCAGGTCAGGTTAACCCGCGCACCGACGGGGGTCTGCGCCAACTTAGTACCGACGGGGGGGGGGGGGGGCGGATGACCGCCCCCCCTGAGATCTCGAAAACGAAGCAAGATAGCGACAAGCGGTAAACGGCATCGGATACGCACGGACAAGGTCTACAATTTTTACTAAGGTCATTTTCAGGTCAGGTCAAAGATGACGTCACAGGGGTCGAAAAAGTCAAATGGCGGCGCTAGATATGGAGAGGGTTTTTCTCGAATAACTTTCGAAGTAGTCAAGATAGGAACAAACTAAGGGCATCATCGTGATCCTCTCGTCAATCCGCATCGAATGATATATATGTTGACCTCGAAAGGTCAAGGTCAAAGGTTGACCTCAGGTCACGTGACCTCGAGGTCATCATGTATATGATTCGATGCGTCTTGACGAGCTGAACACAATGAGACCATCCGCGCGGCTGTATCTTGTTCCTGTAAGGAGTTATTGGCAAAAAACCTTTGGTGACCTTTGATGACGTCACATGACCTTACAGCTGCCCAACAGCAAAACAGACCTCAAGGTAGTGAAGGTTGATCGTATGTGAAGTCATGTATGGTATATGGGGCCTTTCCGACCCGTTTTAGTGGTAAAAACAGGGAGTTGATTTTTCCCCCATTGACTTATAATGGGGAGGTCGCGAAATTGACCTGACCTTAGGTCACCGACATCAAAATTCCGAGATATACAAATTGTAGCTACTAATGACCTAATAACATCCTGCGACTTTCAAAGGCCTCCGACATCTACTGTAGCTCTGGCACGGTGACAAAGTTGCAAAAAAGTGACTTGAGGTTGGGTCATTCAAAGTGACCTGGTGACCTGACCTTAAAAGTTAGGAGGTTCAAACTTGCACACCATGTGTAAAATTGATGAGAGAATAGTCATACCAAATTTCGCGGCGCTACGCGCCGCGGTTTTCCCGCTATCTGCGAAAAACCTCAGGGGGGGGGGGCGGATATCCGCCCCCCCCCGTCGGTGCGCGGGTTAACCGGTAGGGGTCGTGACGGGTATTCGTAGTACCTGTCATCCGCCTCTGACAGCTTCGTAACATGTTACGAAGGCACCAAAACTACTTCGTAAATGTTCCAATGGTTGCTAAACTCGAATTCAGCTCCAAAAACTAGCCTAGAAACATGTAAAACTCGAAAAAGTGAACCGAGGTCACCAAAGGTCAATGACCTGACCTGACCTGACCTGGTGACCTTGACATCCACCCTAATGCATGGGAGCAACATCAAATCACATGTTTGAACGTTTGAAACCACGAAAAGCTTGCAAACGCGCGGCTAATGCGAGCCGACATACGCCGAATCGCGATTCCGGCCAAACATGGTCTCAGAAAAGAGGTCACAGGTCAAAGGTCATTTGGGTCAGGGGTGGTCAGGGTCATGACATTTTCAGGGTAGGTGTAAAATTGATCAATGCGAGGGTACTGAAAGTTTCGTCGCGATCGGCCGCTTTTTACGCGAGTTATTCGCGAAAAAACCTTAGGGGGGTGCATCAACCCCCCCTCCCCCCTGTGCCGGCGAGGGTTAAGTTAACCACACATACGGGGGTGAACTGCCATTTTCGTTTTGTAAAAAATAAAAAAAAAAATCATCGTGTCAGGGCTGTGACGAAAAATAAGTGGCCTAAATCCGATGAGAAAACAGGATTTGGGGGTACCCTAGGTTTGGCTCTTGGAGCTGGTGCCCCCCCCCCTTGTCTCAACTCGTTCCGCCGCCTATGAAACCAAGGCACAGGTCTAGCAGTGTGGTAGTGCGATGCTCTTGGCGAATGACACTGTGAGCTGTTTCATTGTATGACGACCGCCCCTTCCTCTGTTTGCCCGCAGGCGGAGGTGGCGCGCCTTCTGGTCCAGTCCAGAGCGCGGATCGACCTACAGAACGAGGCGGGGCGCTCGCCGCTGCAGATGGCGCCACCGGGGCTGGCGAGCGACCTCCAGCAGCTGGCGCTCACCGCTGGCACAGATGGCAGCACCGTCGACCGGTCGGCGACACCCGCCCGTTTCGAACCGTCTGCACGCTGTCTCTTCAATTATCTGTGTCTCTCTTATCTTTGATCTCTCCTATTGTCTGACCTGTGTGCATTTAAACGTTCAATATGAAACGATTGCTATCCGTTCTTGCCTTCCTCACTTCTCAGGATCGATCCATTAGTATCCTCACTCAGGTGCACCACATTTTCTTGTCTGGCGGTCTCCCCCATCCGACAATCGTTGATGGGGGTAGGTCCTCGTTCGACTACACTCTCTCATAGTAACCGTTTGAGCGACGGGGCGGGGTGGGGGTCCCATAGGGCCATTCCCGTCCCATCGGGCGGCGGCGCACCGTCGTAGTCCAGAGCCTACCTCCAATGTTAGATATTCCATAGGTCTGCGATGGTCGCGGTTATTTGCAATGGTCAGTGATTCTGCCGCTCCGAGACATGCATAGGTATGTACTCGCTGCCCCAATCTTTCCTGTCTCCATCTATTTGCTGTCCACCATAACATCGCGGAGGGATAGGTACGATTTGAAGCTAGAAGTCGACCTTGTTTCGCCAATTCCTTTATGGCTGATGTTACTAACTTGATTCATCATGAGAATATGACAGATTGGTGTGCTATCTGGTCGAGCGTCAGCCATAGTTGTGCATTATTTGTTCTACATTTGTCGAGAGATCGGTGGTACCGGCTTCCGATTATGATAACTCGGACCACTTCGATGATACGGAATGCAGACACGTGCAGACTTTGTGCGCGACTTATCCGTTGTGTAGCGCGTTATATATCTCATGACTTTGTCCCCTCCAGAACTGCGTTGTTGCATTTGTATATTATGCAGAGCCACGTTAATCTGCGAGATACAGTAGATCGAACGTCTCGAACATCTAGCTGGTAGTAAGAAGCGATTCTGCGTCTATTGTCTTCTCTGGCTTGAACACACGAACATTTTCCTCTGGATTGTTACTGAGGGGACGTGGGAACAACTGTCACGTGTGGCCATTCGAATCTGTCCCGTCTGTGATCACCGTCATCTTGTTTGTGCCTGGATCATCGATTCGGACGATTCAGGGGTCGTCGCTTGTGGTTCCTCACGTCGACAGATAACTCATGTGTCTGAGGTTCCGTTTATTTCGCGTGTGTTACTGCGAATTGTACGAAAGTTCGAGTTCCCTATCGATAGAGCAATAAGTCCGTTCGCAAGAACAACGTTCCCTGGTGCGCTGATGTAACCCGTTCCCCAACAGCGCTAATGTGTCCCGTTCCTGTTCCCGAATGCGCTGTGTCGCGTTTCCGAACGCGCTAATGCGTCCAGTTTCTTAGTGCGCTGTACCCCGTTTCCGTTCCCCCAATGTTTCCCGTTTTCTAAAGCGTTGCATGCCGTTCTCAAATGCACTTATGTGTCCCGTTCTCGCACGTGCTCATGTGGCTCGTTTCATAAAACGCTGCCCCGTTCTGAAGCATGTTCAATGTTCATATACGATGTGTGTAAGCTCTGTGAGATTACATATGCAGGTTTGGAGGTTGTTCTTCAGTGTCCCAGTGAATAAAATGTGATTGGACAATCGTTCTCTGCAGTTTGGCGCAATTGGGGACATTCAGAAGGGTTGGGACGTTCAAAAGTGACGTATGTCAAAGAAGAGGTCAGGTGGTTTGAACGAATAGTAGGTAATTAGCAGCACTTAGACACAGAATCCAACGATGTCTGGCCCATTCAAACGCATGCACACACAACCTAGAAATAGCAAACGCTCGGCTGCATCCAGATCTTACGTTCAATTCCAGGCCGCAGCCAGTATTCGCCGTGGTCGAAAGTGGGCGGAGCCTAAATGGCCCTTAAACTGAGATCGGTATAAAGCACTTCCAGGTGCCCCAACGGGTTTACCCTGGTAGCCGAGTGGATAGCGTGACGTCAGCGTGCATTTTAGACTTTCGAAGGTTTTGGGTTCGAGACCCGGAAACGCCCCTGATTACGGTAAATTTTTCCGTCCTAAACGGGCCTCGAACCCAAAACCTTCGAAAGTCTAAAATGCACGCTGACGTCACGCTATCCACTCGGCTACCAGGGTAAACCCGTTGGGGCACCTGGAAGCGCATTATGCCGATCTCCGATTAGGGCCGTTTAGGCCCCGCCCACTATTCTCTGTCGTCAGCCCAGCCTGTGTGACGTCACATCCACTGCTGCTGTCGACTGTTTGGCTCTGTGCGCGGGTCTCGCAGTCTCCCGAACCGTCCGCGTCTGCCCTTTGCCACGTTTATTCTCACGTGACATCTAGAACGTTCCCATTCGAAGACTTGTCCAACCGCCCCACTTTGTGTCGCACTTGGATCATGCAGATCAACCAAATATTCTAGAGTGTTGTTCCTTGAGTAAGGGATGTTTGCACGGGCAATGCGACCGACGACTCTTGCAACGAGGGAATGATGTGTGGGGAAAGGGGGAGGGGGGGGGGGGTGACCAGGCCACGAGGACAAGTGCTGCCTCGCGGGGGTGGCGGACGGGGCGGCGACGGCGGCAGTCGGCCCCTGGCAGCTAGACCGGCCCGCCGAACCCATTGACCCCGGGATGACCAGTGATGGCCGCGGGCGGTGACAGCCGCCAATCTGGGCCGTTTGGAAGCGTGGAAGCGAGTGAAGCCCGGAAAGGGGGTGGAGACGCGAAGGGGAGGGGCAGGGAAGGGATTAGTGAGTGAAAACAGCGGCAGAGCCGCGGAACCGTACTGGGGACAGACCACTGCGAGCTACGCAAGGATAGCTATCGAACACACAGGAGAACGGAGAAACGGGTTATTTTTGAGGAATTTGGACCACAACGTGTCAAACAAAAACGACAAAACCGTGTAAAGTGTGTAACAGAGAAGTGACGTCATCAAAACAAATATCGGCATTTCGAAAACATCGCATACAAAAATCATATACACATAGAGCTGTTGTATTGACTACATCACATAGGCGTTCGCTGGCGTCTCTTCCAGTTCAGCACTCAGGATTGGTGCAGCCACAACACATCGCAAGTCGAAAAATCGGGACAAAATATCGGACATAATGGGGCCCATATAGCTGCTTCAGAACATCAATCACAATGCAAAGCCAAATGACAACAAAGGAACATACATATTCCATCAATATGACGAAACTCGCTGTGCGACTCATTAGCCTAGTTTTTAACTTTTTTTTACTTCATTTTTACAAAACCGTTTTAGCGTTCATCATTAGCGATAGCATGCATATTTGAAGCGGACCTACGGGCTATCCTACGACATAGGTGCCCAGCAATTAAATCGGACTTGTAAGTTGTTCACGTGCTCTTTCATGTACTATGCTTCGCACTAGCCGTAGTGCCTACATGTCATACCAGAGGAATGCCTAGATTATCACTGAAACACAGGGCGATAAATAAATATGCGTGCAGAGACGCAATGACTAGGGTGCAACCGGCGGCTCCAACTACAATAATCGATCAAGGGTTACAGTATCATAGGTGTCACAACGAAAACTGTCCCCCACGCTAATAATACTGAAAAAGCTCATGGAAATTAACGTAATGAATCCATACTGGCCTGATTTTCGATAAATTTAAATACACACTTCGTAGCGAAAGATCATCGATAATCACCGTTATACATGATCAAAGCATCCATATTCCTCAAAAGATCACATCATAGCGCGAGAGATGGTTAAGTAGCTGTGAGAGTACGTCTGAAGGACGTACTCCTCGCATAACGCACGTGCAAAAACGATACATGATAGTTATGCCGCAAACATAGCATATCGAAACCAGCATAGCTGACTTGCGGCGATCAGAAATAGCATAAAAGTACAAAACAACATGATATTGGCTTACTAACACAAGACCAAAGGAGATTATTAACCTCGACAATACATGTCTTAGGGCGTGAATAAGCCGGGGTAGGAAATGACTACGTCAATATACAAGTTCAGCCAGTTTCGCAGATACATTTCGCACATCGACTGGGATACATGCATTCGAGCTGGTCTCATCAGCGCTTAGGCAAGCTCAGGGCAGCTTATGACTAGCGACATCGAGCCTAGCGTTTGCCCAGTGGCTAGCGGCAAAACGGAATGTCAGCATGACTGTAATATACACGGGAGAGCCTTTGACCATTCCACCTCCGCTGGTTGGAAATATGCGCCACACCGTTGAGAGACCTTCCCATTGACTCTATTCCGCTTTTCCACTCCGTTTCGTGATAACCACGCACCGACCGATCAGCCATAGGGAATGCTTTGATTTCCTATCTGCCTACCCGACCATCGGGAGCGAAAGCGATAGCAGCACCTGCCTGCCATCTGTCGGCCACTCACACGACTACAGACAGAAGCAGGGTACCTGGCGTTGACAAGCACAAATAGATAGCCGGCTGAATACAGTGCGCGTCACACACAACAGCGCAGTATGGCACATAGCTGGACGCCACTCTAGCGACTAGAGCTATACGATATACACTACAATGTCCAATCCGCACAGAAACTCGGCCCTACAGTCCACTACAAACGACAAACCAGGAGATTTTCCTCGTCATTCCTCTTCTAGCTGCCTTTCTTGTGGCTCAGAACCATGAGAAGCGGGTAACTCTTTACCGTCACATTAAAGTCAATCGTGATTGGCTGCTGAGAGTATCCCAGGCTCCCCATTGGCTGTCGGCGAGGTCATGGCGGCCACCGCTGGAGCTGATTGGTCGCCGTCAGCTGTTGCGCGTCGCTGATTGGTTGACGCCGGCCCACCGAGCGCGCTGATTGGTGGACGCCGGCCCACCGAGCGCGCTGATTGGTTAGTGCGGCCGGAGGAGGTCGAAGCAGCGCTGGCAGACGCGCACCGGCTTCAGGATCCTCAGACGAATGATTTCCGACTCGTGGTGACTGCATCTGCGGGCAGGTCAAGGGCAAAGGTCAGAGGTCAAGGTCGACGTGTCAGGCCAACATTTGTCGAAGAGTAGTAAGTAACTTTTCGAGAAGTAAGTGTGTAAATGTATCACGATTAAGCATTTCAATTGAACGTGTCAGCAAGTTGTTTTCATAAAACATATACCAAACATCGAAAAGACACCGACAAATTGGATGAACGTTACATGACGGGACAAACATGCGATACAACACGTGTGCGAAGAGGAACCACAGGAAAAGCCCAGCTAATGAAAAGCAAATTATGAACGATAAAAAGCAGATGAGATCCCAAATCAGCTCTTAGGAAGCCAACGCAGACTAGACTACCAAAGTAGCTACACTCTACATGTCGTAAGGTACAGTGTGTCTCATGTTAGCAATGTGGGGACATGAACAATTAAGAGTTAACCCTCGCCCGTATTGGTGTTTTTCCAGCCGCGAACGTATAAGAGGGGGGGGGGGGGGGGTCCGTTGGACCCCCCCTTGCCGTTTCGCCCCTAATCGGGCTAGAGCTTCGCGGAAAAAACGAGCGTGTTGCCCGTGATGAGAGGAAGCCGATGATACCTAATTTTAAGGTCCTAGGTCATTGGTTGACCTTGCAGGTCAGGTCAATGACCCGAAAGTCGGAAAATCGGGACCAGTTAGAACGTCGTAAAGTGTGGCTGCTATGAGGTTTTTCGGGGCGCTGATCACGAATATCATGTTAGTTTTGATCACAGATGATGTCTTTATGCATGTAGTTCAGGTCGGGTCAGGTCACGTCAGGTCAACCAGTAGGGGTCCTGCCGGGTATTCCTACTTCCTAGTAGGTGTCAACCGCCTCTGACAGCTTCGTAACATGTTACGAAGGCACCAAAACTACTTCGTAAATGTTCATATGGTTGCTAAATTCGAATTCAGCTCCAAAAACTGGCCTAGAAACATGTAAAACTCGAAAAAGTGAACCGAGGTCACCAAAGGTCAATGACCTGACCTTCAGGTGACCTTGACACCCACCCTAATGCATGGGGGCAACATCATATCACATGTTTGAACGCTTGAAACCACGAAAAGACTGCAAACGCGCGGCTAATGCGAGCCGACATACGCCGAATCGCGATTCCGGCCAAACATGGTCTCGAAAAGTAGGTCACAGGTCAAAGGTCATTGGGGTCAGGGTCATGAAATTTTCAGGGTATGTGTAAAATTGATTAACGCGAGGGTACTGAAAGTTTCGTCGCGATCGGCCGCTTTTTACGCGAGTTATTCGCGAAAAACCATGGGGGGGGGTCCGTTCGACCCCCGCCCCCCCCCCCCTATACGGGCGAGGGTTAAAACATGTAATACGAGTAGCTGTTTGCTATACTCATACAAAGGCGTAGTCAAGACGTATATAAAGGCAAAGTTCTATAAATGCGTAGTGGTTGAGTAGTTACAATTTCAATTTGTTTGGGTATGCCACTACTTTCAATACGAATGGGATTATATCATGTGACTACATCATATATGTAACACCTTAGCCCGCTAGTCACTTTCAACCCCCTCCCCGTACTCTCCCTCCCCCTCCCGCTGTCGGCCTACTTGGCACAGAAGACGTCTCCGCAGTTTCGGCAGTGGTGTTTTCTCTCGGTCACAGAGAACCGTACGCCGCAGAGCGCGCACGCCAGGGCCGAGTCGTCCCGGCGCCAGTGGTCGGAGGGACCTGGGTAACCCCGGCACGGAACACAACATAAAGGGGGACAGTTATTGGAGCGGAAGTATTGGCGGCGGAGAGTTATTGGAGCGGATTTCTTCACGGCGCAGAGTTACTGGAGCGGAGTTTTTGGCGGCAGATAGTTATTGGAGTAGAGTTATTCACAGAGAAGCTCCTGGATGGGAGTTATTGACGGCGGAGTTATTGGGGTGGAGTTGTTGGAGTGGAGTTATTCACGGTGGAGTTACTGGGGTTGAGTTATTGGCGGCAGAGCTATTGGAGAGGAGTTATTTACGGTGGAGAGTTATTGGAATTGAGCCATGAACGGCAGAAAGTTATTAGAGCGGAGCTTTTTACGGTGGGGTGTTGGACTGGAGTTATTAAGTGCGGAGTTATTCGAGGAGAGTTTGTTGGAGTGAAGTTATTCGCGATGGAGTGTTATTGGAGGCAAATTATCCACGGTGGATTTTTTTTAGATTCACACTACTGAGATTTGAAATGGAAGGACTGGGAGGAGGTGAAGGTATGGTAGGGTTGGTTGATATGTTGTACGGAAATATACAAGTGACGTCTTAAAATCCCCAGTCTAAGACTCAGTATTTTCCTCATTTTTTTTTTTAACATCACGGCTGAAAGAAGTTAACCAGCGTAAACTAGCCGAAAACGAAACGTATAATAAGCATAAGAGCCCATGATCACATGCAAACGAAACGTCGACCATCATTGAAATATAAGGCAGCAGCTAAAACGTAACAAACGTTACAGCCAACCATTCAGAAACATTAGAAGCCTGAGAAGCGACGACATTCCGAACGTAACACCCAAACTGGACACGACAGAACGGATGAAATGTCACATACGGGCAGCATTGACAAATCGTGGGAGGAAAAATCCCGGGTGGAACCACAAGAAAAAACACAAACAACCAATATCAGACTGAACTACAGCTACGATTTTCACTACAATACATCAGCCAATGACCAGAAGGTCTCTAACGAAAGGAGCGGCCGGACGGCGTTTTAACTCAGCTGGTGAGTTGAGTCAGTGTGTGAGTCGATGTGAGTCAGAGTCGGACTCACCTGTCGAGTCGGAGACGCTCCAGGCCCAGACTCTGCCGCGAGAGTCGCCCACGTAGACAGTCCGGTGGTCCCTGTGGGGGTAGAGACGGGGAGGGGAGGGGAGGTCACGAAGTGATTCAACCGTGTTTAAAGTAATAAACCGCATTCAGTGATATTTTAATGAAAAGTCAGTTGCACAAATAAATATACACTTAGCTGTTCGTGAAACAGAAACAGCTTGTGTTACCTGAGCAAAATCATCCCTCTCCAAAACCCACATCATTACAAAGAAAGCTAACGTAAATCACAGCAAAATCACAGCACAAGTCGCATAATCACATACCTTTCTTTACGTCCCTCCCCCGCAACCTTGCCCGCAAACATCCCACACCGAGCGCCCGTGCCATTGTCACTCGTGCACCTCCAGTAGCGAGTACCACCACTTACTTGGACACGGCCAGGGCCGTTACACTGGCTGGTTCGGCGTTATCCCGTCGGTCATAGGCGGTGTGCATGGTGAGTTTACTTCGGAACACGAGCTGACACTGCCAGCGGAACCCTGACAGAACAGAGACAGACACTGGGGTCAGTTTACTGCGGAACCTGACACTGCCAAGTGCCAGCGAAACCCTGACAGAACAGAGATGAATGGTATAAGAATGACCGTTAGTTGAAACGAGCGCAGATGCGCGATGAAAAACAATCGACTACAATTATTCTGCCGTCCAAAGGCAAAAACGCATATGTCGGGCCATGACCTGACCCGACATATGCGTTTTGCCTTTGGACGGCAGAATTGACAAAACACAAATATCAGCACCCATACCATCAATAGATTCTGAACGAAAAGCAAGCATCAGTACGCTCATCAATACCCGTAACACAGCAGAGTAACTAGCACCACACAACTCAATGTGCGTCCGGTACGCTGGTATTCGTATTCTACACTGGAGAATTGAAGAGTACTTGCGACTTCAATTGGCAATTGAATCCACATTGAACCGTTTCCGTTCTAAACCCTCCCTCCCTCACCCTCTCCCGCCCCACTCACCCTCCCTGAGCAGTTTCCTTTTCTCCCTGTCGGCTGCGGGCGCCAGGTCGGCGGCCGTCACCACCACGAAGCCCTGCTCGGCGGCGGCCAGGTTCGTGTCGCTCCGGCTCCCCCGGAGCTCCCCTCCGGCCCCGGCGGCGACGCCCGGGGGCATCAGGCGGTCGCCAGTCGATTTGCGCGCCTCCTGGGTGTTGTGCTCAGACTTCTGACGACGCACCACCTGATGAAACGAGTCAGGGATGTTAAATATGTGTCATTATTTGGATGTCAGGCAATCATACACATGTAATTCATCATGTCAAGCAAAAATAAATTCATGTCAAGAAAAAAGAAGCCTACACAGAGAAGACAGGAGACACAAGAACAGGAGATGAGACAATTGGAGAAAGATGGAAACAGGAAAGAAAATAAGGGATTTCATAACGCTAAATCAAGCTGTTTTCCGCGCATAACATAAACATTTTCCGGAAAGCCGTCTAATAACTCCTCCTACTCGTCTGATAACTGTTCTCGCCTCTTACCGTTTGTTCGGGAGCCGTCTCCAGACTGTGCGCCTTGCCGGCCGCCAGCGCCTGACCCTTTGTCTGTCCCTGTGACTGTGACTGTGACTGTGACTGTGACTGTGACTGTGACTGAGACTGAGACTGGGCTGAGGGCGGGTGCTGGGACGACGGCCCGGGGGACTGGTCCGCCTCCTCGCAGGAGCTGACACTGGCCAGCGCCTCCAGGGCGGCGCTCAGCTGCACCTGCGGAACACGAAGTGGGAGGGTTGGTAGAGATACAGGGACAAACGGTTAGACAGGGGGGGACGGGTGGAGGGGAGACAAATAAAATACGGCAGTCGGCAGAACAGATACATTGAAGAGAACAATACCGAGCTCAGCAGTAGGCATTGATAAATGGTAGGCGATGACAGCTCAGAGGTATAACTCTTACCAGGACATAACACGGAAATTGAGACGCGTAGAAGATCTGCCTTTACTTCAGAGACGACTCCAGAGACAAAAAAAAAAACGTTGGAGAAAACACAACAAGTACAAGAAGGAAAGAACAAAGAAACACCACTGGACGGTAAATGCAAAGCATCACACCCAGACCAATCATGCCAACACTTTACTCCACAATATAAAAAACGTGACACTCTCCCCATCTCCCACCCGGCACCCACCCCACCACTCTCAATCCCCACCTCTCCGTACCGTATGTGCGCCTCCGGAGGCCCCAGACACCGCCTGCTGTCTCCTCAGCATGGATGGTCGGCGGGAGGACCTTTTGGAGGCGGATCCGCCGGTACCACACGAGCGGATGTCGTCCTCAGAGCCCTCACCGCCCTCAGAGAGACTGGATTCCGAGCCGGAACGGAGCAGCACTGCGGGAGTTACAGGGGGAGTTAGAGTTGGGCGGGGTACTGGGGAGTTGGGGAGGGGAGTTAGAGCTCGAAATGGCGGGACTGAGAGTTGGGGAGGAGAGGTAGAGTTGAGCGAGTTACTGGAGAGTTGGAGAGGGGGAGTTAGCGTTGTGGCGGATTACTGGTGTAGGTTGGGTAGGTAGCGTTAGAGGTTGGAGACGGTAGCAGTCAAAAGGGTGGACTTTGAGCTCGAGCAGGGTACTAGAGAGCAATGAGAAAGGCGGAGTTAGAGCTGGACAAGAGTAAGACAGACAGCACCGCAGAAAGTTGGACTGGGAGTTAGAAACACTACCGAGTCAAAGTTGAAGTTAGAAAAGTTGTCAAGCCTGTCATGCCTCAGTCACCATTAAAATCGGACCTGGAACAAGCAGATGATGTGATACCCCTGCATGCAAGGCCTGCTTCGGTGCCCATTCAACAGCCGGAGTGAATAAATGACTCGGGATGAAGGATAAAGGGAGAGTCAATAAATGACTCGGGATGAAGGATGAAGGGAGGATGAAGGAATGAAACAATGAAGGGCTTGGAATTTGAAAAGCAGAGGCTAAATGGATTGTCATTGACAAAGGCTGAAAAATCGTCTTCATTACAAAACAACCGCAGCATACGCCTTACATTTGTCACTAAAAGCATCGCACTATTGATATAGTTCACGCTAGACATTGACTTTTAACCCGAGCGTACAACTACAACACTTCGACAGTTCCCAGCAAGAACATCTTAAGTATCAAATTTTCGAAATCGATATTTTATACCATTCAGCTGGGAACTGTCGACTTGTTAAATTTCTGAAGTATCATACAGAACGTATGCCATTACGGAAAATAGGATGGTGAGCCCCAGCATTACACAATCGCCGAAAGCTGCTCGTAAAATCGACTCCAAAAGCCGTAACCCATGCATCATAGTCAGGCATTGCATGTCATCGTCAAAGCAACACTGTAGATTCGTGCGTCGGAAAATCATGGTATTATCAAGCTGACACCTCACACTGTGACGTATGTATAATCTCTGTGAACTGAACACATACAATCTGATATCTAAACGTGCCAGCCATTTTCAGTGGCATAACCTAAAGATAATGCACAGTGGATAATGGATATCGCGGTGGCTACAAGTACACAACGTGTAGTAAAAACGCACTACTCTAGACAACGCCTTCTATCTACGCTCCACTTTTCACGAAACCAGGTCGAGTAACGTGCACCCAGCATCATATTCTCTACCACCAGCAGCTCTCGTGCATCTTCCGTGCATCATTAACGCATTCACCAACTAAAGCACTACCACCATCACAACACACGATTTCAGCTAGATCTACACTAAATCTACACGTCCTACAAATAATGTCTACAAATATACCATGCTCAAGTCTACGCCTACGCATGTAACTAAAACAAAACTAACGCAACGTCTGACGCATGTTCTGGTGTAGCTACATCTAAATCTAATGCCTGTCCCGTAGCTCAGTTGGTAGAGCATCGGACTCCCGGTAGTGAGAGCCCGGGTTCGAGACGCTCCGGCGCTCGATATATGAGACTCCTGACGGGGATGGTCTGCGGTTGGTGGGAGCAGCCGCAGCCAGTTGAAGTCAGTTGAGTGGGACAGGCCGTGTCCGGCTTTGAAGGGCACGTTAAACTTTGGCATCTAAATTCTCCCGTTACCCGGAATTGCGCGATCGGACGGTAGGGGTCGGGGTCTACGCAACAAGCTCTGCTTAGCGTGGACTCCGGCTCTGTCAATCCGTCCATTCAAACATTCGAGCTAAATTTATAAAATAATATAAAAAAAATGCAACGTCAACTATACACAGCCCTACAGTCTAAGCCTACGTACACGACAGCGCATATCACTAGGGCCTAGGCCAAATATACACAAGCCAAAACTCAAATCAGCACCACGCAGACTCATCTCTACACGACCTTCATCCACACATAAACATATTCTACGTCTAAGCCTACGTGTCCACGAGGGTTTATCAGCCGACACATCTACCACCACTTCTGGCACTACACGTCATACCACTACGTCAGCTTCTACTTCATTCACAGCTACGACTACGCCTGACTGCATCAACCACAACGTCTACCACCATACCTACAGCCACTCGTACTCCTGCCACTGCTTCTACCACTACTAAGTACCACCACGCCTGACTACACCAGCCACCACCTCCACCGCTACCACTACAGCTACTCGACCTACCACTGCCACTACTTCAACCACCACGCCTGCGTCAACCACTACCACTACCTCTACCACTACTCCTCACACCCCCTCTCCTCACCGGTTCCCGTGTCCGTCCCCTGAGCGGCTCTCTGCGCCCCCAGCGCCGCGCCGGCCGCCGGGGCCACCAGACTGGCGCGTCTCACGGCCTCCACCACATCACGTACATCCTCTCTGAGAGCGTCGGGTAGGAGGGCCACGCAGCGGCCGGCCAGACCCACCCAGCCGCCACCGCCGGCCGCCGCGGCCGAGAGCGAGGGCGACAGGCCGCCTGGGGTGGTCGTGGTGGGGAGAGGGGTTAGCGATGGAGAGAGAGCGGGATCAAGAGAGGGGTGTGAAATAGGGATAGAGGCGACTTGTTAGGTATGTGTGAGTAAAATGTGATTAAACGTCACTAGCGACTCAGTCAACATAAACTCTGGCACTGTAATCGAGAGACTTCACCATAAACTTTGACGTTCAATACCGTAAGTAACTGTTCATACTCCTTATCACATATGTACACACTACACACAATACCTCCGACCTCCTAACAAACGTCGCTGGATTCACGTCGTACTGCGAACATAATTCTGAAAACCGACCGATCACTCCAAACGCTACAAGTCAAACAGTAATCACGCTCGACATGCCTGACTAAACGGCAAACGCTCTAGTCTTGCATTGGTCACCTTAAACGCTTTTAATTGGTCACCTATCTTCTCTCTCCACCCCTGAATGGTCGCGACGTGCGTTACCCGAGTCTTATTGGCCCCAGCATCTTCCTCGTTTATGCTTGGTCGCACCCATCCCGCCTCGTTTCTTTCGTCATTAACACCCTTCCTCATCTCTGATTGGTCCTCCTCCCCCTTTTCGCCCCTTATTGGCCCTCCCTCCCCTCCCTCGTCTCTGATTGGCCCTCTCTCCCCCTTCCTCATCCCTCATTGGCCCTCCCTTCCCTTCCTCATCCCTCATTGGCCCTCCTTTCCCCTCCTCGTTTCTGATTGGCCCTCCCTCCCCTTCTCGTCTCCCATTGGCCACTCACCCTGTGGCGACAGATCACCGCTGACCAGTGACATTTTCCGTACGATCTCGTCCGCCTTGGAAGACCGTCTTTGTCCCGGCCCGACGGACAGACGCTCGGGCAGCGACCTCTCGGAGGAGGTCGAGTCGGGACTGGCCTCCGGAGAGGGCGAGGCCACGGGGACTTGAACGTAGTCCAGAGACCACATCTGGAGAATCAGAGAGGGGTGGTGCGTCACGTGCTGAAACGAGCTGTCGTGAAAAAAGTAATGGGCTGACATACCAGCAACGCCAGATAACTATTTGGTACAGACTAACTACATATTGAGGCGATTATGGGGAAGGAGTTGATGGTTACTTTAGCGGAGCAGGCATGCAGAAAAATACACGCCATTTGGCATTTACATAGTAACACGTTCATACGAGCAACATTCTTCATTTTACCATATCGTATTTTTCGACAGATGTCCTGACAAATAAGTAAGCGACTCGTAAAATGAACACAGTTGAATTTGAATCTAATACGAGCTCATGAATCGTACTCCGTCAGCTGTCTTCCAAGACTCTCCCTCAGACCCCCTCCTTCCCTCCCTCACTCTCCCTCTCTCCGACAAAACTCACCCTCACCACACCGTCCGTGCTCCCTGTCATAATGACATTCTCCGCGTCCCACTCGTTACTCTGACTGAACCCCAGACAGAGGATCTGCTGCATCCGATCGGAGGCGCCCACAGCCGTGTTAACACGTGCCACCTCGGCGCCGTTCACGGTCCACACGTGCAGCCACGTGCCGGACGACGTGGCGATGTCGCCCTGCGCGGGGAGGGGCGGATAATTGTCATAATCCCCAAGGGTGCTTTTCAAGCACCTGGCGAATGGAAGCGTCAAATTCTTGCGTAGAAAAGCACACAAGGTAATCTTTCCCAACAGCATCACTCTTCTCGCGACTTACGCAAAGCAGTCTGTGTCTCAGACGTAATTTAAGGAACCACGGGAGCTTTATTGATGGCGACTTTCAAATTTCAAGGGAATATGGTCGAGCACCCAAAAACCCCTAATTCTCCACCTCTGCTGCGCGGGGAGGGGGCGAATGGGTGAACATTGCAGTACTGGAAAATGAAACTGTTAACGTTTTTCATGACATTTAGCTAGGTAGAGAATTAGAGATCATTCTTGCATTGAGTGAGAGCTACTTCACCTTATTCAGAAGAGAAGTTACATTTCATACATTACATCGATAAACAAATGCTCATCATTCGTGTAGCTGTGAGTGTGACGTGAATCGCAATGTACCAAACAATGTCCTAAAAATGAAGCTACTGCTCATCATATACCCCTTTCTCAGCAACCCGATCCCATTCTTACCACCATTACTATCAGTGCCTTAGCTGCTACAAAAAGCTGCTACACCATACTCCTCATTGAAGTTACTCGACAATCTCCCAGTGACGTCACTACCACTAACCGTGACGTCATTGATGGCCACGGCGGCCACGGGGGCCGAGTGGCCCCTCAGCTGACGGACGTACGTCAGCCGGAACAGGTCCCACACAATACACGTGCCGTCCCGCGAGCCTGGGGGCGCGTCATGAAAGTTAGGAGACAAAGGTACGGCTCAAGCGCCTGGCGATGCGTCATCAAAGTAAGGAGACAAAGGTACGATACAGGTAGTAGTCCCGGGAGCCTGGGGGCGCGTCACTAAAGTTAGGAGACAAAGGTACGATACAGGTAGCAGTCCCGGGAGCCTGGGGCGCGACATCACAGGTAGGGATAAATACGTCATGTTAAGAGCCTTAGAAAGCTTAGAAGAGAATAACACAAGACCATGGATTACATACACAGTGATATCTAAAGATCACTTCATCGTGTTCCAAAAGCATCCTCTTCAAAATTATAAGCAAAACACTTAACTGTTAGCTGAATGTGAACTGTGTTTTGTGAAGTCAAGTGAAAAGAAAAAGTACAGCTAAGACAAGCACGAAACGAACAGCCACCTACCCGACACGATGAGTGAGTAGGCGGTGCTGGCGGCCAGCGACAGGACCGCCTCTGTGTGGCCGCAGAGACGGGCCTTCACCTGCAGACGGCGCTTACCGTACTCGTACACTACCACCACCTGGCGGACATAATCAGAAACGGAGGTTATAGAGACAGCCGGCAGATTCATTATTCATGAGGGGAGTGCCATCATTCATTAGCCTGTATTGGTGTCTGTCTTTCAAAATCAAGCGAATATTAGCGTTTTTATTTCTTACGCGCGAACGGTTGATGACCGTAGCTTAAAAGGACCGCATAAAACACTCACAAATACTGAACACGACGTGGGGTCGTGCTTGATGCCCCCTCAACCTTTTTTATCTATTTTTTTTTGTAATTTGCGCCCCAAAGATGAGCACATTGATACTACATCGTATGACTATATCGTAGAGAAAATGCAGAAGCAAAATCACGCAAATCTAGCTTCACAATAGCAGCATCTGCCATACGGTATAAGAACACACATCTGACGGTCCCCTCTTTTCTCAGTCACTCCCCTATCCTATCCCTTATTTTACCCCATAAATACCGTAATTTCTCCACTCTTACCGTGCTGGTGCCTCCGGTGACGATCAGTTTGGGTCTCGGTGCCACACAGCAGAGCACCTCGCCGCTGTAGACGAGCTCCGCCACCAGGGAGGCGCGGTCCGTCTCGTAGCTCCCCACGCGGATACTGCGAACGGGAGAGGGGGGGGGGGGAGAGATTACGATAAAACTATACATTCTAGATAGACAGTGCAAGGCTGGAAAACAGTGTATTTCATAAAATTAAACAAGCACAAACAAAATCAAAATTCAAGTCTGAAAGTTAACACGTTCGATACAAATAGGAAGCGAGGCTGAAACCAAACCAAGAGAACGACAGGCGTCGACACAAAACGTCCAAATCAAAACGTACGCGGTCGGTAGGACTCGAACCTACGCTCCCAGAGGGAATCTGATTTCTAGTCAGACGCCTTAACCACTCGGCCACGACCGCGATGAAAAATCAACGGGGCTCAATACGTCAGGCGGGTTGCCCGGTGCGATACGAACCAATTTCAAGATAGCGCCCCACATGGTTACTTTGTTACTGTTTTGTAGGGTTAGGCCCTTACGGTCTGACAAGACCATTTTAGAGCCGGGAGGATGATAAGAATTAGGGGGAGACATCATGGTCTGGGCAGGCACCCTGCAGTCATCGGGGCTGAGCCCATCCGAATTGATGGACAGGCCGACCAGCCCCCCAAGCACTCTGCACCCGGCTGCGGGGTGCGCTCCCTCGGGAGCAGCATGAGATAAAGATGTCTGTACACCGTGTACAGCACGGAGTGAGGGTTGCGGCGTGGAGAATAATGATTTCAGCATCCTAAGGATGGAAAACGACGGAACGGAGAAACCAGGGCACTGAAGAGTCGGGAGGTGGGAACATGGGTAAAAACATTACGCTTCGAATGCGCGCCTCGATTTTTATACAAAGAAGTTTTACGGCGATTGGTAGGTACGTAATAAGTAATGATGAGCCCATGGTCTATTGAATAACTGTGTATAAAATATACATAGAAACAGCATGAGGGATTGTCTGCCAAGTCAAACCTGAAGTCTTAGACAGCTGCAAAATTTTCACTACCCACTTCTACTATACTTCTTATAAGACATATTTTCTACCTTCCTCTGGACCCATTGCTACATTTTCTCCCCCCCCCCCCCCCATCCAGGCATCGGTCGTTCAGTGGTAGAATGCTCGCCTGCCACGCGGGCGGCCCGGGTTCGATTCCCGGCCGATGCATTTTCGTCGCCCATGTTTGATATTGCCATGGAATGCTAGTCAATGGTACAGAAACCCAGCATTCTCGCTACACAATCAAACATGTTAGTATTCCTCCGCTATCCATGCTCATTTCATTTCATTTCATTCATTCATTCATTCATTCAGCGTCGCCTCACCTGTGATCGGCGAAGCCCCAGGCCACGTAGCGCCCGCTGTTTCCGGGCACAATGTACTTGTTCTGCTCGACCGCCAGCACGGAGCGCTCCTGGGGTACGATGTGACCGATGGGGCCCTTCAGCTCTGTGGAAAACACAGGGGAATGGTCAGGTAAGGTCATTTTGGGGTAAGGTTGGGCCAGGTCAGGCCAGGTTGTGTTCACAGTTTTCATCAAGGTGAAGTTACAACGGGCTCCATAGGTCCGAATCAAGTTGGGTCGGGTCTTGTCAGCTTGGGCAACGAAGCCGGCGTGCTCCCTAGTGATCTCCAACTGACCTCCGTGATCCCGCTAAACTGACCTTCGTCTCTGCCAAACTGACGCTCATCTGACTAACCCCTTACCATGGCCAACTGACCGACAACGCTCTCCAACTGAACTACAAAGTAGCCTTAAAACGGATCTCTGACCCCTTCAAACCAGCCCGACCCCCTCCATCTGACCTCCGCCCATCTCGCACTGACCTTTGACGGGCTGCATGCTGGGTCTGAGTCCGTCCAGCGCGTGGAAGAAGAGTTTGTCGCTGCCGCTGATGTTCTGCTGCCAGGCGCCGTCCAGAAGACGGTTCGTGAGGCGCACAGACTGCGGAGGAGAGGGAGGGAGAGTGTGTGTGTGTGTGTGTGTGTGAGAGAGAGAGAGAGAGAGAGAGAGAGAGAGAGAGAGAGAGAGAGAGAGAGAGAGAGAGAGAGAGAGAGAGAGAGAGAGAGAGAGAGAGAGAGAGAGAGAGAGAGAGAGAGAGAGAGAGAGAGAGAGAGAGAGAGAGAGAGAGAGAGAGAGAGAGAGAGAGAGAGAGAGAGAGAGAGAGAGAGAAAGAGGAGAGAGAGAGTGAGTGAGTGAGTGAGAGACAAATAAGGACACAAATCTATCTGTAAGGCTTTATAAAGAGTTGGTCAGGCCTTCACGCATGGGCGCACCACATATGACGTCACAGATGAGAAGTCACAGGACAGGTCATAATTCACGGGGGTCAGGTCAAAGCTGAAATCACGGCAGTAAAAAAACTTGCAAAGAAACACATTATAATGCCAACACATGAACCCGCAGATAAATGATCAGCTGGGTATCTGACCCGATATATTCATTATCTATCTCACCCTAGTCGCTGTTCCGGGCCCCAATCCCAGTACATCAGTATGTTTCAGTACATCTCAGCTATGCCTCAGCTATGTCTCAGTATGCCTCAGTATGTCTCAGTACGTCTCACTATGTCTCAGTACGTCAGTAGTATGTCTCAGTACGTCTCAGCTATGTCTCAGTATGTCTCAGTACGTCTCACTATGTCTCAGTATGTCTCAGTACGTCTCAATACGTCTCACTATGCCTCAGTACGTCTCACTATGTCTCAGTATGTCTCAGCTATGTCTCAGCCGTCTCAGTATGCCTCAGGTCTCAGCTATGTCTCAGCTATGTCTCAGTACGCCTCAGCGCTCACCTGCAGACTGCTGCCGACCAGCCGCCGCTGCGGGTGAGGCTTCTTGAACAGCTGACGCGGGATCTGGCCGAAGTTGTTGATGAAACCCACGGTGGCAGTCTTCTTCAGCGGGTCCTCGATGCTGCGAGAAGGATGGAAATCGGGCGTTAGAAACTGGTGAAACAGATGACACACAACGGCTGATGGTCAGTGAATAATTGTTAGGGAGCCAATGGGTACGAGTGTTTGATGTGCAGACGTGTCATCATCTCTTTGCCGTTCGCATATCGGAGCCCGTTTTGGAGATGATAAGCGAGCACATTTTTCTTGATAATCTAGTGACTATAATAACCTTAACTTAGAGATGCCACCCATGTACGGCATCTCTAAAACGTCTATACGACTACCACTACCAGTATATGATATAAAACGAGTACAATCTCTATTCACAATGTGAATAGAGACATGTCATGATTTCACATGTCCGCGTATCTAAATTGAAAATCAAAACTGCAAAGCTCTATGAGAGGCAGCTGCAGAATATAGCAGCTGTGTTGACCCTCTTCCCCAATCCCCACTGATTAAAACACCAGCTGTTCGGCTGAGCTCGATACTTCATCATCCGCTACTCGAGCTTAACAATGAAGCGTTAGTGGCGGGAAATTCAAATTCAAAACGGGTGCTTCAGACGGCCACTCAACCAATCATGTAGGCACTTCAGTCTGATCCTACTTCCGAAAGATAAAGGGGAGACTTTGATGATACAACTGATACATGCACGGCCAGACTACGCTGAAAAGTTTGCTTTCTCATTGCCTGTAGTACACAGTACAGCCACAAATAACTGTTCTTTCGCCACTGTAACAGTATTACATTTACCGTCGTCAATTAATTTCGCTAACTCACTCATCAATTAGCTAACCACGTCATGCCGGACACAGACTTGTGAGTCATTCTGACTGAACTGAAGACCATGCTCATGTTTGCCCTCTTAGAACACATATCTACTCACTACTGACCTCAAAATGTCAACTGTTCCTGTTAAGTCTGAAAGAGACCCTTAGGCTGTCAAGAATTGCTTCCTCAGACAACTGACCTGAAGATGTCGACGTTTCCCTCGTAGAAGAGATAGTGGAACACGTTGTAGGCGTCCACAGCGCCGTGACCCTGCTGCTTGCAGCCGAATATCAGGTCTGAGAAACATAGCGGTAACGAATATCAGAGATGTTAATAGAACGGGTCATATGCGTAATGTCTGCGGGGATAAATGATGTTGATTTGATAGGACGGTGTTAAATATCATTTGTCGCCCCAAAAGGCGCCTTACTGATGGTACTCAGCAAAGCATGTATGAAATTGTGCGAATTGGCCGACGAAAGGTGATGAAGTGACCAAACTTCGGTATCAGCATGAGGGTGCTAGGCAATTCTAGTTCACTAAGCGTGCTGATTTGATACACTTCTTGTTTAGTTAAAACACACATGAAATCTATCGTCTTTTGTGTGCCCACATTAATCGATGAACAAAGTTCATTATTCATTCATTTTTACTTCATTCACTCATTCATTCATTTATTCATTACATTATTTCAATCCTTCTTTCCATCCTTAATTCATTCATTCATTCACTCATTCTTTCCATCCATCCTGCCTGCCTGCCTGCCTGCCTGCCTGCCTGCCTTCATTCATTCATTCATTCTTTCATTCATTCATCCTACCCCTCCCCACACGTACCGATCCAGTGGTGCAGATGTGACGACACGTAGGGACACTCCAGTGCCTCGCGGTGCACCCTGATAAACTCGCGCGGGTCACCCTTGGCCCAGGCCGGCAGCACCACGTCGTCCAGCGCCGTCCCGTTCTGCTTGTGACCTGGCGGGGGCGGAAAGGGGGGGAGGGTATGAAAGGTCAATAGGGGGCGGCAAAGGTCAGGTCACCGACGTTATCAGTCATAATAGGGTCATCGTTGCTACCAGAGTTAACACATGACTATTATTATTAAGATATGAATTTATCTTTGCTTTGTTAATTTATTTTTGCCTTGTCGCAGTGGAGGTATTTGAAATATGAAAAATGTGCATTTTGATTAAGATAGAAAATAGGTAGACATTCACTAGCAAAACCTATGCGTTCGATTCTCCCCAAAATACTCATCGGCTAAATAAAACAAGCATGCAACGTCCAAACGTTAGAAACACAAATTTCTCGTCTGAATAAATCTTCATCCGTGTATCTATCCACTTTGCGCACCGAGGTCGAATTGGTTGGCGTTGGTGAGAAACTCGGGCAGGTAGAAGAACTCGGGTATGAGCTCCCGCACGTCGGCCATGTTGTGCTCGGAGGCCGAGCGCCACGCGTCCTCCACACTATGAAACATCCGGTCGGCCAGATCAAAGTGGCCGCCCTGCCGGAAACGGAAACAAGACACTTCCGGTCAGCGTGGGAAAATCGCAAAAGGGAAGTGTCAGGGGGAATATGGTAGATAAAAGTCATCGATAGTAAATATTTGCAGGTCTGTCTATCAACTGAGGGTTTCCGTTTTCCTATCGGCCCCTACCCATCCCCCACCAACTTTCCTCAATTTTAGTCTACTACTTACAACCCCTCTCCTTTCGTTCCACCACCTCTCTTTTGCATCTCTTAACCTTCCCTCCATTCCTCTTCAATCCTTCATATTCCCTTTCATTCTTAACCATTATTTCTCTTTTCCCCTCCCCATTTTCTTTCCAATCATCTCTCCTCATCCCTTGCTCCACTTCACTCTCTTTCCGTTCACCTCC